GGGGGGGGCATATCCAGATAGAAAGGCAAATACTGTAATGTCTATTTGTGTTTTTTAAATTATTTTTTAATTGAGATCTCAAATTGGAGCCATTTTATAGAGGCATAAACATTCAATCTGTCAGGTTCTAGGAAATTTAAGTAGAAATAAACGTATAATTTGTGGGGATGCTGCCACGTGGAGAGACAAATACATCACGCCATCACCATAATCACAACTTGTATATAAAAAAATAAGCAGCCACAAAATATTAAAACTGATATATATATAGCCCAATCAGCAACCTCAAACATTAAAAATAATGTTTATATAAGCACAAATCAGACACCTTAAACATTCAAAGTAAAACTGATATAAACACAAATCAGCAATCTCAAACATTAACAATAAAATGTAGATAAACACAAATCAGACACGTTAAACATTAAAAGTAAAACTGATATAAACACAAATTAGCAATCTCAAACTTATTAAATTAATAAAAACACAAATCAGAGACTTTACATAGTAAAAGTGAAACTGATTTAAACACAAATTAGCAATCTCAAACTTAAAAAATAAAATTGATAAAAACACAATAGAGCTGCTGACTGACTTACACCTTTGGCTTTAATGCTGTATTGCAAAAAAGTTACAAATAGAGTGTGGTAATTTAAGCAGTACAATCAATATTCCATCCTGACACAACGCCAAGCAAGGGGATAAGAAGGGCCATAAATAATTATAATTCACATATGTATAATTAAATCATATAAATCTGTACGCTGAATTAGATCCTTGGAGACTAAAATATCAATGTTTCACATCACTACCATACAGCAGATGTTGCATGTATACATATAAGCATTCTTATGCAGTAATCATCATATATAACACACGTCCTTACATCCCAAAGTACCCTCAACAAGCTGCTTACAAAGCAGATGTGAGTGACAGCTTGCAGCAAATATATAAGTACTCATTAGTTGTTTATTTACCGATATCTTTTATTGTCCACAGGCACTATATCCATGGCTATATAGTATTGTTGATGTGGATCTAACCCAGAGATCTTCACTCTCATAGCTGGAAACATCCGCCTGTAATAGAAATTCACAGAAATAGTGTATGACTGTCATACCTCTCTATTTTAGAAGCAGGCTAAACATTTGCCTTTATCTTGATAGAAATAACATAATATAACCTAAAATACTCTGCTTTGTGATTTTTTTTTCCAGATTGAGTCAATTACTCTTTAGCTCTCTTTCCAGGCTGACAGTGGTTCCTAGTGAGAGGGAGAAATTTAAGTGAACCTGTCTAAGCTGCCTTTAAACACCCTTTCAGAGTGAAGGAGTATAAAAATTGGTATGGCTGTGTAAAGACATTTACTGAAAAAAATCTAAAGAATAAAATAATGTGCAAGGCCTAGTGACCCATAGAAGCCAATCTTGTATTGTAATTCTAATGTCTTCCTTACATTGTAAAGCGCTGCGCAAACTGTTGGCGCTATATAAATACTATGTAATAATAATAATAATAATAATAATAAAGACAAGAGAAAAGAAAATGAGCACCAAATCAGAGTTAATGCTTACAGAAACCAATTCAAATTCCTTATTCATTTTTATGCCCAAGTGATTGGTTGATATGGGCAATAATTACATTTTTGTGTTCTTTTCTCTTTCCTCCCTTTATATTTCAACAACCCCTCCGAAACCAGTAAAATGTCCCCTCTCATCAGTGAGAGAAGCTGATTGGCTGATTTGGGGCATTTTGCATACTTCCCTTAGCCTTATGAAGTAATCCCAGTAATGTGCTGGCCAAAATATTGTAAACCCCCATTTTCTCATTGCTGACCGAGGATGCAGCAAACATCAGCCCTACCGATAAGTGTAATCCTCAGTGGATTCTGAGAAGATTTATGATGACTCAGTTAGAGCCCCCAGTGTATGGCAGACCCTCTACAGAGGCACTGACAGCCAAGAAAATGTCTTCATATTTTCTGTGTCTCTGCACCTGTACAACTCACAGCCTTTGGCTGAAAATCCACTGGACAAATGCTGCATTGTGCCGATTGGAACAGCATTTAGATCACTGCTATAGAGGCATTGAAATGTAGCCTGCGACATATGGATTTAATCAAATATGTTTTTGCAATCTTTAATAAGCTGAGTTCCTTGTATAATATCCAGGTTTCCTTGTACATCTGTCTTTGAACCATGTCTTTTCTGAAGAAGACGGAATTCATGGATCTTGCTCTAATGAGCACTACACAGGCTCGGCTCAATGTTAAGGGCTGATAAAATAGACTTGCCATCTGTACTCACTTCATCATGCTGTAAGTTTCAATTTAGGTGTTGGGATCCTATACTGATATCTTTAAAATATGTAAATCTAGATGTCAGATGTCCCTGGGGAGTGAGGCAAAAACGTTTATGATAAACATCTGTAAGATCAGCGTTTGTTTGATGATCAGAGCGAAAGTGGTGACATCAGTGCTAGGAAGGAAATCTATGTGGATGTGTCCCTTAGCAGAATCACTGAGTCAGATACCCAAGTCAGCCTGTCCTAAGCAGCTCTTAAATCAGAAGTAAGCTCATATCTTGACCTAAGCTAACATTTGTTGACACTGCTAGCAGTGCTGTCACACAGCCCAGACTAGCGTTGATAAACCCAGAAATCCACTTGCACTCTAAGGAACAAGGTATGGATACTGGAGGGAATACTGGGTTGCCAAGAGCAACCAATGCATTTCCTAAATCAAATGAAAGTTGCAATTTGATTGGTTGCTATGAGCACATCACACCTCTTTCTTTTCTTCTGGGTTCATAAATCAGTTTCATGATTCTCTTTTATGCTTGGTCTTGTTTATTTTATACCACTGGCTGAGCTGCTGGCCTCATATAGTCAGCTCCAGGTGAATATCCCTTAACTGGTGTGAGAAATCCAGGTTTTGGGGTAGGCTGCGGTCTAGGTAATGGCAGGGGTGATTAACAGTGCATGGTGTTTATCCAACAAATACATCATGATGGAAATATTCTGACTGAAATAGCTGGCCTCTACCAAGAAGCAGCGAGCCAAGCCATGTCTGGGAGGAAGTCACTGGCCCCCTGGCAGTCACCCTACATCCAGCATCATGATGGATAGCCTGGTCTTGGCTGCTCTCTGAGCCTAAAAAGAAAGCTCGTGCACTTAGCAGGGACAGATTTACACCAAGCTAGTTCACAGCATTCGTTACATTGCCCGAGCTGCCGTCAACATTCCCACTGGGGGCGAGGAACCTGTAAATTGACCTCCATCGCCTGAGCTCTGCAGAGTGAAGAGATCTCTCACCTCCCGGCCTTAGTGATGATCATCTCTGTGCCGATCTCATGAAAGCGCTTCCACAACTCTGCTCCCTGCAGATCCACACGAATCACCGAGGAAGATGAGCCCACCGTGGCCGAAACAACAGGGGACGCCAATGGGGGACTGCATGTCCCAGCTGCTGCCTTCACTCCACCATAGGCGTCCTCACTGGGTTCATGTTTATTCATGAAATATGAATACATTATATAGAATTATTTTGGAGAGAGATCCATTAAATATATACATTCAGATATTCAGATTTGAAATAACTTTCTTTTTTCTCTTTCTAGCATTTAGAGAGAAGAATGTATCCATGTGTAACTTTTTGCTCAGAGGTGAAGGGGAAGGTGATCAGAGTTCCATCAACAACAACGTTCTGTACAACTCGCACAAGACAACAAACATTGCAACTTTGTTGTGACGATCCTCGCAAGATGCCAAATATTCAAACAGTAAATGACCACAAATAAAATGTAGAAACATAACACTCCGGACTTTGTTAATGCCGGTCAATGCATTTATGTTCAGTGACAATTACAACTTCCTAAGTATTACATTCTAGCTAAAGAAGAGGAAATGGCAACAATTTATTTCTAAAATATAAATAACGCATGGAAATGGGCCTGTGATACAGTGTATGAATTGGTTCACACGTAACTCAGGGCTGGATTTTCCTGAATTAGATATGTGGCAAGCCATGACATATAATATGTCGCTATTACTAGATCAAATATACTGGATGCATATTATATTATACATACAGACAGAAGGGTTTATTTATCAAAGTTTTCACATAAAATTCACACATTTTCTAACTGAATTGTAGGTTCGGAAAACCGTGTGAATCGTGGAATTTGTGTGCATTCTGGGTGAAAGCATTGATAAATAGATCCCTTGAGATATAGAAAAACATATAGAAATAAGAATATAGGTACTAGATAGATAGATAGATAGATAGATAGATAGATAGATAGATAGATAGATAGATAGTTAGATAGATAGATAGATAGATAGATAGATAGATAGATAGATAGATAGATAGATAGATAGATACATGGATATATAATAAATGATAAAGATAGATAGATAGATAGATAGATAGATAGATAGATAGATAGATAGATAGATAGATAATAGACAGACAATCAAATAATCAAATAAATAGATAGATCCATGAATATATAATAAATGATAAATTGATCATAAATAGATCAATAGATAGATAGATAGATAATAGACAAACAAACAAATAGATAGATTTTTAAGGGACAGAAAGTGAGAAGAAGCACAGTCCCCTGGCCAGTGAACAGTAAGTAGCCTTTCTGCCCCAGACAGGAGGTTTGAGGCTGGAGCAGTGTACTAATGCATTACTTAATCTAATGGTGTGCTACATTTAAAGGAGTACTACATAAGAAAATGAGTACTACATTTAGAGGAGTACTACATCTAAAGAAGTGCTACCTCTAACGAAGTACTACATTTAAAGAAGTACTACATCTAGGAGTACTACATCTAAAGAAGTGCTACATCTAACGAAGTACTACATCTAAAGGAGTACTACATCTAAAGAAGTACAACATGTAAAGGATATCTACGTCCAATGGAGTATTACATGTAAAGGACATGTCCTATTCCCGGACTATAGGGAAGGGGGGTCCATGCAGTGTGATGGGACATAGACACTCACAAGCTCCCAGTATGCCGCACACAGAGTGCTCCAGGTCAGGGACCGCGGACTGCTGGATGGAAGCTAATTCCGATCCTTCGGCAGAGCTTCTCTCGGCATGTCCATCCTCCAGCTTCCTCTTCTTCTTCCTCTGCTGCTTCTCAGCCCCGATGAGCGCTTCCACGGAGAAGGCGTGTGCCTTGAGGCTCATGGTACAAGGTGACCTCCTCTTGTCTGCCATGTCCCCGATCAGCGCGGTGTCTCCCCTCTTCATATACACCCCCTTTCTCTCCGGAGACTGTGTAGTAGATAGGAGGCTCTAAGGCATACCCCCTTTCCAGCTCGGGGAAAGTTCGGTGTAATCCAGCCCTGAGCAAATCCAGGTACTCAGCAGAATTTTTTTTTGGGAAAGTCTCTCCAATGTAGCCCCAGAGTGGGGATGGGAAAGTTTGCTCTTCCCTTGTCTCCCACCTCCCCCTCCTCTTTGCTCCAAGCTCTGACTCGTCTGGCGAGCCGGGGACGACTGACACGGGTTACAATGCGCGCTGGACACAAATTAGGACTTGTAATTGAAATTTGTAGCCTTGAACTGTCAGCACTTGTAAGCAGGAGAGCGCTGGAGAGAACTCTCTTCATTAGCGACAATAAAGCGGCGGGACAGGGAGGAGCCGGCACATGTGTCAATCACACGGCTATCCGACCAATCACAGAGCCGTCATTAAAGCAGAGCCGGACCTA